ATTTGGTAGCTTTTGAAACCTTGAGATATCCACTAGAGTCACTCCTGGGTTTAGCAGAGTTGGACATGAATCCCTCTCAGATCTAATTTCCAGTACTCCTGCAGGGAAGAGGAAGTCAGGAGAGGAGTCGGGGAATGTGTTGAAGAGGATGAAGTGTGAGGCGTCTCTGGATCACCCGCCCTTCTACTACAGCATCCACCGCCACAGCATCCGAGGCATGAACATGCCCAAGTAAGTGACCTCTGACCCCAGCACATCAATGGACCACACTGCTGCACTGGTTGACATTCCATTCTTTGACTGGATCCAACTGTTCTGTTGTTAAATATTCACCAATTGAGGATTAATACACTGCTGGAAATAGTCCTCAAAAAAATGTCCTCCATCCATCATGTTTCCCTGCTTGAGGAACTACAGTGAGGAAATTACTGAGACAAAAAAAAATGAATACAATTTAAGAACAATGGGCCTGGAGCTAAAAGCCACACAAAGTCAGAAAGTATTCAGACAGTAACACCATGTTGGTTTGCCCATGGGATTGGTTGACAAAAAGAAAAATGAAGAATAACACAAGATTTATTCTTTATCCTTTTATAGAAATACTGAAACACAACTTCAGACACTTTAAATATAGACATAAAACTGCAGGAACATTTGATCTAACTTTATTATTTCTCTATATTTCTCTTCACAGGTTGAACAAGTTCCTTCAGTACCTGACGGAGGCCGGCTTCAGGGTGAGTCGGACCCACTTCGACCCGACGGGGGTTCGAACCGACGCCACACTGGAGCAGTTTAAATCTGTCCTCACAAAGTACAGCGTGCCCACGAACACCAGCGTCCCTCAGACGAGTGTGAGCATGGACAAGACGCTGTGAGAGAAATGCAAAGCCTTCCACGCTTTGAAACTAAATCAGTCTGCTCGTCTGGTTTCTATTCATCTAAAGAAAGTTGCACTGAAACTACGTGGACATGTTTTCACTTTAATATATCTTTAATCAAACCAAAAACAGATTTTTGTATATTAAACTGCGGATCCTGCAGCACAGAGGAGCCTAATTTATCTGCTGTTTCTCTATTTATGTTCAGAGTTCTTATGAAAATCTATGGGTTACAAGTTGTGATTTTATTTTCTAGCTGGTTAACTGTCTTGTTTTATTTCTTGTGTGTAAAAAAAATAAAAAAAATAAAACAAAATCAACGCAAAGCCTGATTTCCTGTAATTCTTAATTGAGCAAAATACAATTATCCTGTTTTCTGAGCGATAAAAACAATTAATAAATGTTTTATTTTTGTTGCATAAAGGTTTTCTCTCTTTCTTTTATAGTAATCCAAGTCACATAAAAAAAACAGAACATGATGCTGAGTCTGAATAATGTTAAAAACAGCCTGTAATTTATCACCAGCCTCCTGAATGGAGGGGCCTGCACAGTACATCACGGTATCGTCCGCATAAAAATGTAAAGTAGCTCCATCGACATTTTCACCTAAACTGTTGATATATATGGAGAATAAAAGTGGACCTAAAACAGAACCTTGAGGAACACCATTAGCAATGTTTAACCACTCAGAAGACAGCCCATCAAAGTGAACACATTGGGACCTTTCAGAGAGGTAGTTCACAAACCACCCACTGCATGGCTGGATATGCCGATACTGAGTAGCCTCTGCTTTAAGATGTGATGATCGACGGTATCAAACGCTTTGGACAGGTCAACAAATAGAGCTGCACAACTCTGCTTATTATCTAAAATACTCGTAACATCATTCACCACTTTCATTGTGGCAGTGATGGTGCTATGTTGCTTTCTGAAGCTTGACTGATGTTTAGACAGGATGTCATTGTTACATAAAAACTCCTTTACCTGTTCACTCACTAGGCGTTCAAGAACCTTAGCTAGAACTGACAATTTAGAGATGGGTCTACAATTGTTTAATAAGGTGGCCTCCCCTCCTTTTAGTAAAGGCAGCAGGGCATAAGCTGACTTCCATATTTTTGGAATTTTCTTAGTGCCGAGGGAGAGGTTAAAAAGAGTAGTGAGAGGTGGAGCAATACAATCTGCAGCTATCTTTAAAAAGAAAGGTTTTACGTTGTCCTGGCCAGCCGGTTTCTTAGGATCTAACTTGGTTAAGGTTTCATGAACAACATCAACAGTAAAATGAGTAAAACTAAAAGGGTTTTCCAGACCGCATTGTTCAGAGTCACGGATTGGGGTGTTCACAGAAGCAGAATTAGAAACAGAATGAAACAGAGAGCCACAGGACACAAAATGCTCATTAAAGCTATTTAGCATAGTAGCCCTGTCCGATATAGTACCAGATGCTGTGGTAAGGCACGGAGGTAGCTCATTACGGATATCACCGGTGGATATCGATTTTTATGGCTTTCCAAAATTTTCCAGGATTATTTAGGTTTTTTGTGGTTACTGACAGATAGTACTTAGACTTAGCACTTTTGACATTTGAAGTGAAGCTATTCCTTAGCTGCCTAAAGCGTAGCCATTCTACCTCTGAGCCTGATTGCCTAGCCTTTACCCAGGCCTTGTTTCTCTCATGAAGGAGACTAGACAGTTCAGCAGAAAACCAAGGATTGTCTCGTCCCTTTACTCTACGCAGGGGTGCATGTCTATCAATGATCTCCATACAACCAAGATAAACATAAGACCATGCAGTTTCTACATCAGCACACAGATCGATTTTTCCCCAATCAAAACCAAACAGATCATGAACAAAACCCTGCTCCACAAAATGCTTTGTGTCTCTTACTGATAATGCGAGGTTTACCCTTTTGGACCTTTGTGTCCCTATAGCTACAACACTACAACACAGTGATCACTCACATCATTTGCAAATACTCCCACAGATGAGTATTTATGGTGAAACTCACCATTTCACACCTCGTTCTGAGAGCCTTGAGTGGTTGAAAGGACAGAAAAGACTTCAAGGTTTATCAGTAACCTTTAGAACCTATATGATGAATTGGAAATGGGGGACCCTGATGTAAACAAGACGAAAGTCTTTCTCTGGTCTGCATCCCCTTAACAATTGTATGTTTTGAGCTGTACTGTACTGTACCCAATATACAAGCTGTTAATAAACTTTTCAATCAATCAATCAATAGAAGGACATGGGGAATCTATGAAAGAGATAGCCAGAATTGTTTTAAATCATAAGCAGCTTGGGAGGTTTTAAAGCTGATGATTAAATAATGTGTTAATCTAATTTGTTTTCTTGCTCTGTATTAATGCGTAGAGAAAACCGTGATTACCTGCTGAATTTACACTGGATGCTCAACATGAGGGCAATTACTAGATTAATAGGAATACATTATGCTTATTAAGCTTCAGGGAAACAAGCAGTTCACACAGCAAAGGCCATATAAAGGAGTAATCTGACCATTATCTGCTAACTCCTTTGAGTACAGCACCAAATGCATTGGGATTCAGCTCAGCAGATGTCAATGATTGATCAGATCGTAGCTTCACTTTTTTGAGTTAATCAGCGCAGATGTAATCACTGCTAATCATCCAGAGTGATAGCACTACAGGTAAGAAAAATGAACATCCCCCCACTACAGAGAGACCACAATGGAAATATGCCGTAGGGCTTTATTGTGTAAACCCAAATGGTCTTTTGATGTAGCAATTTGTAGCTGTGGTGAAGCTGCATTTGAGTTTATCAACAGGTGTCTTTAATAGCAGGAGGTTCATCTTCGGTGTGCTCGCCCTGTAGCCTCTGCCAGAGGTGACTTTTCTGTAGGTTCAGAACTGAAGGAAGTGTTCAGATTGTTGACTTCTGTAAAAGTGGTAACAAGTTATGACCTCATTATTCAAAATGACCCATTTCAAATACATAATATATTATGGTATTGGGTCATAAAAAGTGACCCATGAATGTGTTTATCACTTTAAAAGGGGACGTACAATGCTTATTTTCAGGGTCATATTTGTATGTTGGGCCTCTGTGACATGTCTCCATTCTTTAATCAAAAAGCTCTTTATTGTTCTCAAACTGCCTGTGCTGCAGCACCTCTTTTCACCAGTCTGCTCTGATTGGATAGCTGACCGGCTCTGTTGTGATCATATACAATGTGTTGGAGCACTAGCCAATAGAGGCGCAAGAGTTATGTTGTGATGTCACTATGTTACAGAAATAAACAAATGAGTCCAATGGAGGGGTTTCAGGCAGGAGAGTGTGTGGGAGAGAAACTCCCTGTGATGTAAACTTTGGGATTTTAGCCACAAAAAAAGAAATTACTAACAGGAAAGGGAAAACAACAAAAACAACAATAGGGCCTCTTTAATATAAAAAAAACATTATATTTTTCTCATACTGTCAATCTGAATATACCTGTATTTACCATAGGTATTTACTCGTCTAAAGCGCTCTGTTTTAGCGCCTGTCTCTTTAAGCCACGCCCCTGAGAAAGCCCATTCTGAACTGATTAGTTTGCAAGCTAAATTTGGCACACCTTTGCAAAGGTAGTCTCAAGCCATGCACGAGACAAGGGAACCAACTCTTTATTCCTTGTTGAAGCCCTTAGTTCGTTTGGTATTCACTTCAGAAAAACTCAGGTTTGTGCAAAAGCACTGAAAAATGAGTTTTTAATTACAAATCCACTTTTATGATGCCGCAGTCAAAGGTGGAGTTTTTGTTTTGTTTTTATAATCTGTGATGCTGTGTAGCTTAACCTGAAATAATACATAATTAGTTATTAGTTGATTTATTGTTTGTATCATTAATTAGGATATGCAGAGTGACTTAAATAAATATGTCCTATGGAGTTGAATTAGAAAGTATAACAAAAATGGTAATATGAAAATGTCTCAAATGTGTACTTAAGTAGGCTACTACACGACTAATGTACTTAGTTATTTTTCACAACTGTAAATTATTTGAGAAAATTAAATAATCACCTATCCGACCGTATTAATTAATCATTTTAATGGAATGATTTGATCTAAATTACATTTAAATATGTCGATTGCTGTTCGACCTGATTCAACCCCCCCCCAGGGCATCATGGGTGTTATCCAGAGGTGAACAAAAAAAAGGTGAGTTGGCTTTCTGGCTAAACGTCACTGAATGACACGGTGCTCAGGAGGAGGAGAGGAGGAGGAGGAGGGCGTTTCCTCCCTCCCTTCCTCCCTCCCTCCTCGCTGCCGCTGCAGATCGATGTGTCGGAGCTTGTACCTGAGGACTGAACCTTACCTGTGGATCCTCTCCCGGCAGCAGCACCATGGGGATCTCCGCGTCCAGTCTGCTGGATGAGACCAAATCCAACTACATCAAAGGTAACATAATGATAAAATTGGAGCGACGTGGAGATTACGCACCGCGCTCTCACCGCGTTTCCTTTAACACAAATCTGCTCTTTTGGATTGATCTTTTTCTTCAGAAAACTTCCCGTTATTTCTTTCTGTGCTGTTTTGGAGCTTAAGATGTTAGTGATACGAGGACATCACTAAATCAGTCAAGGATGTGTGGTTAATCTGCTTTAGAGGAATCTGTGAATTTCTTGCTCGGAATGTCTCATTCAAATCACTCATCTGACAGTTTCTGTGGAGACAAACAACCCCCCCCCTCCCTCTTAACTTGTTTCCAGATATCTGAATATCTTATGTGGAACCTGTGTCTCTGCTTTACTTGCGCATACATTTACTTGCGCATCAACATTTCCCCAAGCAGTATTTTTTTCTGACAGATAATAACCTCAGGGAGGAGGTTGAATTCTGCTGCCAGTGTTTTCGGCTCAGCTATCTGCCGGGCTGATCAGGTCACTCCTGCCTTTCCAGTCCTGCAGGGGAGAAAAGTGAGCTGGGAGAAAGGGCCAATACCTGTTGGCCCCTTTTGTTTCCTCTGCTGCTGGGTGTGTCCCTGGCAGAGGACAAAAGGTGCTTCTGCTGTGGTCTCCCCACCTGTGGACACAGGTGTTAACATCACATTTGAGGACAACACAGTGGACTTTGAAGCATTTTTCTATTTTCTGACCAAACAATGAATAGATGAATCTGGAAAATAATCAGCAGATAATGGAAAATGAAAACTATTGCAGCCCTAATGATAACCTGTTAGCTGAGAATCCACCATTGCAACAGGACAGGTCTGGCTCCAGTCTGTGCATCTTGTGTATTATGATCATATTCCAGTGCCAGAAATCTGATTTTCTCAAAGATAAATGCCTGAAAATGTTGCAACTTTAGTGGAGGAGCTAGGTCAGGTATATTTTAATTAGTGCCACCAAGTGTAATCCCATGTGTCTCGTGCATGTGGCCATACACACTTTTAGTTGCATTTTCCAAGTTTGTGAAACTGTTTGTACGGGTGGCTGTCACACAAAAGTATAATTGAGGAGTAATTTCTATCCGGCTTATGTCAACTAACAGAAACTTAGATCCTAGCCACACGGAGACGGTAACGAAAACGAACCGAATTCGATATCAAAAAAGACTTCCGTCCACACACAATCGGCACCAGAAACGTGTCCGTCCACACGAGACCGCTCGACCCGCTGGAGATGCTGTAGTACATTATGCCGGGCCTGTAAGTGGCGCTGTACTTCCGCCACAAAATACACCAAAAGCAGCGAAGAAGACTTCACGAGCATGCATGGTTGCCATGGTTGCCCTTCCGTTTATTCTCCGCGGTGGATTTAGCAGCAGAGGTGGGGAAAGGCAGGGGCCAGGGCTCTGTCTCTTTTTGTCCCTCCCGAGGCAAGCGTGTGCTCCTGCTGTAAATCTCCCTGTTAGTCCACCAGCAGATGAAAAACACCCACCTCTCCGCCTCTTCCAAGGGACGAGGGAACCATGCGGCAGAGTTTCCGTTATAATTTTTTTTCGCCGGTCAACATGTCCGTTAAAGTTTAATCTTCCGGACAAAATTATAAAAGTGCCGGTCAAAGGTCTTCTTTGTTATTTATTGAGCTTTAAAACAAATGAATAACGACTCTATATAATAAAATAAGAATAATATACAGAGTCTCTCTACTGACAGTAGCTACTGACCATTAATGAGCTTGTTGATTGATTAATGATTGAATTGTTGCTTCTCTTTGTGAAACAATCAGAGCAGCTCTAATCCCCGCTGGACATAACGAAAAAGAAAACATCCAGAGTGAGAGCAATGCAGGTCAGACACCTGACTAAAGTTAGTTTGGTCATCATCAGTTTCATCCAACAGTCTGCATCAGGCTGAAGTCACTTGAATGGGATAGGTAGGATTGTTTGAAGAGGGGTTGTATAAGGTTTATTTATCAGTGTATTAACTACAGTAGATAGCTGTCGGCTTGGACAAACAGGAATACCAGACTCCCTTGACAAAAACACTCATTTAAATGTTAGTTTTTCCGTAGTGTTTATGGTAGTTTCTACGGCAGTGTTTGTGTAATGGTGTGGTCATTTCAGATGCATCAAAGTCACACAATAGCTCAAACTAACCAACACAAAAACTAGCATAAACTAAAAAAACTGACTGCAAACGTACTGTTCTTTTCAATTGAGTCTGGCACTCCTCTTGGTTCAAACTGGTTGCATGTCAAACACTATTTGTATAATAACCTTGAGGCAGCATAAGTCAAATATTATACACCAAATTACTGTCGGTGCCTTTTAAAGAGAAAATGGATAATGGCTTCAGTTCACTGTTGTAGTTGTCCGACACCAAGGTTAAGCTGGGAAAATATTTTAAATATGGCTCACACTTAAACTAGTTTTGATACTTTTTAGTTGGACCTTTTGACAGGTGGCTAAAATCCATTTGCTGCCGCCCCCGTTCAAAGCAGTCCATTAGCTTCCATGCTGGTACTCCTGTCTGCTTCTCTGAACTTGTAAATGTACTGTACTACCTTATACAACATCAACTATGCCGTTAAAGTTGGATATTGAACATCAGGACTTGTATCAGCTTCATGTTGATGACTGTGATCAGAAAGTTCTAGCGCTTCATTCACAGGTCTAGAAACCAGGTGTGCAGAATCGAAGCCATTTCAGCTTCTTGGGTCATTTGAACAACAGACAGGGTCAATGCTTAGTAAAACCACGCTTTTGTAAACCAACAAAATAAAGGTGAAAAGTCAGAGAAAGCAGAGAAAAAGGTGAAAAGAGAACAAAGGCCAAAACTGCAACAATGGTTTTTTTAAACGCAGAATCGTCTGGTGTCCATTTTTAGATATTATTGTAATACTAAGAAAAGATAAAGAATTGTCTGTGAAAACGCCCCTGTGTCTGTTGTTGATGTTGACACCGATTGCCGCTGCTGTTGCCATAGTTACAGAGAAGGAGGATCATATGTTGAAAATGGAGAAGTGAAAATATTGATCCTGTGAACTAGAAAATCTTCTAAATGTGTTTTTCAGACTTTGCTGTAATCAGCCCTCACTCTGCCCGCTGGTGAACAATATGCTGTATGTAATCAAGGTTGGAGGAAACCAGACTGTGGTTTAATGGGGTCCTTTGGGTGAGGTTTTCTCCGGCAGATCATGAAGTTTTCTATTTTAGAAGCTGCTCACTCACTCTGCGAGGAGCTTGATGTTTGTCTTGTCAGATTTTCTTGTAAGGCTCTTTATTTGAGAGCTAACCCAAAAAGCAGTGTCACTGTGCATCCATTTCTTGTGGGGAAAACCTTCCTCTCTTTCAACAGTTACATGTGTGTGTGCAGGGTGCAGGGTGGAGGGAGGAGGGTGGAGTGGGTGTGTGCTGGAGAGTTTGCTGAATATCTGTTGGTAGTTTACTGGGTTGGTCTGGTTTTTGTTGAGCAGGCTGGTTTGGATGAGGTTAACGTGTGATTCATGAGTTGACTGCAGTCCAGTTTGGGTGGAGGCAGATTCCACACATTGGTCCTCTTTGTGAGCCGGGCTGTAGAATGTAACTTTTCTTTGGTTTCCAACTATGACTGACAACATTTCGTCACCATGCAGATGGCCTCAACCAGTTGTTCCCAATCTTTCTCCTTAAGGCATCCCTTTATCATTGCATTGACTTAAAACCCTGAAAAGTGAAATAATGTATTTTATGGATAGCTCCATATAAAGTATTGCAGGAATGGATCCTAAAACCTGGAAATGAGTTAGCATTTTACCTCTTCTGGTTTCTTTTTAACGTGTTTGCCTAAAAAATCATAACATTTATGAAATGGTGGTTGCTAATTGAATTGCTAAACGTTATCAAACCAAACATTAACCGCCTTTAGCTTAGCGGTTATAGTCTAACATAAGCTTTTTATCTCTTGCGATTGCATTAACGTTAAAAAAGTCATCAAGTGGTGACTTGTGTGGAGATTATTAAGCTGAACCAAATATGTAAGTATCATCAATGTGTGTTGGCAACAAAGCTTATTTTCTGCAATATTCCCGAAATATCCCACTTATTTGTGTTGAGGTAGCCCTTGTGATGCTAACTTCCAGGTCAGCCTGCAAACATACGTCATCACTGGAACACTGTTTTATTCAATAGCAGTAAACAGAGAAAAAAGCCTACATCTTTACAGGGCCCTTGAAAAGTGAGATTTAACCATTTTATTTATTTTGACTTACAAACATTCATGAAGTTGTCGGCCAATTGTATTTTAGTCTACACAACTTTCTTTTTAGCTTTATTACTGAACATTCAAATGCACTAGGATATGTCACTATTATTATTTTCTTAACATCTATCGGTGTAGGTTCGCTTTAAGGATTTGCCATATCACAGCTGAACAAATGCACCACTCAGTGGTTGCTGTGATGGAAAACATTTCAGATTTCTTCCAAACACTCTAGCTCCAGTAAATCAGGGTTGTCTCTGATTTTGTTTCAGAACAATTCTAAGGAGAAAGGGAAGCCCTGCAGATACAGAACTGTGCTTAAAATGAAATCAACTCCTAGTTTAAATATTTGATAATGAGCTTGTGGAGGGCATATTTCACTAATTGCTTCAACATGTGTCTGTTGGGCGTCATGGATTTGCAAGGGGATATTTTCCACAGTAAAAACTGTCAACAGCAACAGAGTGTGTAAGGCACATGTGTCAAACTCAAGGCCCGGGGGCCAAATCAGGCCCTTGGTGGATTTCATTTCGGCCCGCAGGATAATTTCTAATTACTATTAGATCTGGCCCGCCGGTATATTGTACGCACACCCTCACTCAATCCTGAGGATTTCCTCCGCTCAGAGCCTGAGCCCAAACATTGATGAACTTGCACCCAAGATGAGATGCCAAGTATCTGGCTTGAACTAGCATCCCAGAGCAGCACACTAAGTTTACATGGATGTTTCCTTCTGCACTTTGTTTCTTGAGACAACAGGGCATGTTTGGTTTTT